TATATATATGTATATCTATATGTATATATATATGCCTGTCCAAGCTGGTACAGCATAATGAATGGTAACGTCTGATGATTTCCACGCAACCATTCCACACTTAGTGATTCTGCTTCCAACTAGAACAGATTGTGTTTTCAAAGGGTGATAAATCTTTGGTTATCAAGGAAACTCACCTATTCAACACACTGGAAGTGCTAACATCTAACCCAATGCTTGGTTCATTAGTAACTTAATAAATGTTGCTTGGCTGAGTAAATGAATGATGATCACCTTCACTGGATTTTAAGTTCCTTGAGGTCAGAGACCACTAGATTTTAAGTAGTTGCTGACTAGACAAAGAAGGAATGAAAATCGGCAATTAGGTGGTACCATGGAAGCAGCAGGAAGGGAAGAACTCTGGAAATTGTGGCCTTCTATCACCCTCTGGTGGGGAAGGGCGGGGCATTGTCATCCAGTGCCTTAAAATCTTCTGTGTTTTTCAAACTATAGATCCCCACCTATTAGTGAATTGTAAAATAATTCAGGGGGCATGACCAGCATTTCTAAAAATTGAATTTATGACTAAACAGAAAATATGAGAGCGCCTCACACCCAGCAGAGGCAAATTCTGTCATGAACTGTCATGAAGCTGTATTTATAGCTATGTCTATTTATCTGTTAGCATGTATATTCATTCATATGTTACATACTATTTTTGTGTGTTTACTGGGTTACAGCCAGTGATTTGTTGATAAATGTTTAACAACTAGCTCTCTAAGAAAATGTATAAGTGTATATATACATAGGTTTTTCATAAAGTTTTCTCAACATACAGAATGTGTAGCACATAATTTACAAATAATAAAATATACAAGTATTCTTCACTGTAAATTTCATATAGTGGATCGATTCTCACAGAACACTTTCATTGCTTTTTGCTGGACTCTTGTATCTGTAGACAATTTATAGTTTCAGTTCAACCATACTTGACAAATGGAGTTGTATTTCAATCTACACAATCAACAAACCAAATAAAGCCCTGATTTGTAGTAACTGGTGAAAAGACTCCCACCACGGATGGTTTTGAGCTACCAGTGTGATGTCACTGAACGTGCAGCTGGGAAAATTGCGCAGTAACATGCCATACAGCTACAACAGATATAAGTAACCCAAGAGCATAGATAAGAAGCACAGGTAATTAGAATACGTAAGGATAGGTAATTAGGAAACAATGGGTTTTGAATATTAACGTTGAGTTTCACTGTTAGTTTAGATAATGTAATTTTTAATAATGGCCATGTTTAACAATCATCTTGCCAAAGTCCTGAAAATGTAACAATCTGCTGTCACAGGCCTGTATAGTTGGCTCCAGGACACCACTGAGTTCACAACATAAACATATATTTCTTAATATGGGTTGAGGTAGGAAGAAAGAAAGAAAGAAAGAAAGAGAGGGAGAGGGAGAGGGAGAGGGAGAAAGAAACGGAGGGAAAGAGAGGGAGGGAGAGAAAGAAGAAAGGAAGGAAGGAAGGAAGGAAGGAAGGAAGGAAGGAAGGAAAACTGCTCTAAAGACGTATAATTTTTCAAGTCTGGGTTTAACCTAGTCTGCAAAATTCTCCAGGGATAAAACTACATAGTATTAAATGGAACAAACCCTTATCCTTCGTACAGAAATACAAATCCTGAAAGTTTCAGGAGGTACATTTTTGAAAGTTCATTTGGGTGATGTCTAGAGTTTCTGTTCACGCAGAGCTCTTTCACCTTTTCTTGGAGTGGGGGATCAGCATCTGGATTTTCACTGATGGAACAGCTTTAATAATATCCAATTACCTCCCTGTTCTTGACATTATGCAGTTTGCCATGGAAAGTAACAATGGTTGAGCATCTGGCAACCTTCAGCAGATAGAGATGGTTTCAGACACTATTTACAAGCTGCCTTCACAAATGGCATCTTTCTAGCTGTGTACTTCCCATTCCTGACCATGAAAAGCCACGCGGGTGTGATCACCATTATAGATATATTTTTTTAAGAATGTAACTTTTTGAAGGCCCAGAGATATCTTGTTACAGAAGAACCCCAATTAGATAAATGTGATTTTCAGATATGAAGATCATCTTGAGATGGTTCTAAGGAATTAATGCTGTTGTTCTCATTAGTTTATTAATTCCCTGCATGAGAGGTTTTTTTAAATTTTGTTTTTATTTTTTGAGAGAGAGAGAGACAGAGACAGGGAGAGAGAGAGACTCCGGAACAGGCTCCACACTGTCAGCACAGAGCCAGATGTGGGGCCCAATCTCAAGACCATGAGTTATGACCTGAGCCGAAATCAAGAATCAGACGCTTAACCAACTGAGCCACCCAGGCGCCCTTCTGCATGAGGGATTTTAAATGTCAGTCCATTATAGGCATAGATCAGGTCAGTGCTTCCCAAGTTTGGGGCATGAGAATATTTTAGACAGCTAGTGATAATGAATATTTCAATATAAATGTTTATTTGTGATAAATACAATTGGCACACATAATCCATAATCTCAAGGATATTTTTGCTCGGGAAGCTATTCGGGAGGTATTTAAGTTTGAAATGTGTGTTGTTTAAAGAAAAGCTTTAAATAAATATTAGTATTGGTGGTATGTGGACATAGCAAAAGCAGCTAAGATAGCCGTAATGGCCTAAATGGTGATCCTCAAAAAGATGTCTTAACCCCTAGTACCTGGGAATGTGACCTTATTTGGAATGGGATCCTTGCAGATATAATCAAGGGTCTCAAGATGAGATTATCCCGGATTTACGGTGGACCCAAAATCCAAGGACTATTACCCTGGTTAGAGACAGAAGGAGAAAGACACACAGACGGGAGAAGGCTGCTGCTGATGGAGGCAGAGACCGGAGTTACACAGCTACAAGCCAAGCAACGCCCAGGATTGCAGGCAGTCACCGGAAGCTGGGAGAGAGGCCTGGATAGGAGTCTCCCTCAGAGCCTCCGGAAGGAACCATCCTTGCCAACAGCTTGGCACTTCCGGCTTCCAGAACTGTGAGAAAATAAATTTCTGTTGCTCTAAGCTAAGCAGTTTGTAGTAATTTGTTACAGCAGTCCGAGGAAACTGATACAGCGGCAAAAAAAAACCAAAAAACAAAAAAAAAAAACAAAACAAAAACAAAAACAAAAAAAGCCACAAGTTTGAGAAACACTGAATTGGGCACCCAGCCATGATGGGGGTGAGAGGATTTAGCTCTGTGATAAACTGAGCAACTGAGTCACCAACACTCTCATCTGACCTTAACCCCCAGAGTCCAGCATTTTCACTCAATACACTAGTTGTTTAAAATGAATCGACCAGTTGATAGAATGAAATCTCATGTGCCTATACCTGGATCACCGTAATGACCTCGGGGTCATAAACTAACTCTTGGGAAGGGTTGAGCTCCTCTTGGCTCCCCATTTACGGATGAGAAAACTAAGGCGCAGATGGACGAGGTGTCTCCAAGCTTCCAAAAGAGACTAAATGATTCTGTGACCACTGCTCCAGTCCCTACAACACTGCACTTAACTCTTTCCGGTATCCAGCAAATACTCCCGGAGCGCTTTTTCCCAGACCCAGAGAAGACTCCGAGGCTGCCACCTGGCGGCGGGACTGGGAGAAGTGAGAGAAGGACCGCGGCGTTCCGCAGCGGACGCCCTGCAGAGGCCGTCAGTGGCCAGGAGGGGGAGCGCGAGCGCCCCGCGAGGGGTGGGGCTCACGGGAGGCGCGCATGCGCCCAAGAGGAGGCACGGCGCCTTCCCGAGCGAAGGGCAAGACGGTAGCCGGGAGGACACCGGGAGGCGGACGGTGGCCGACGAGGTCGGGCATGGAGCATCTGGAGTGCTGCGCGAGGTTCCTCCGGGGGACGCTGGTGCGAGCGGCGGTGCGGCGCTACCTGCCCTGGGCGCTGGCGGCCTCCATGCTGGCGGGCTCCCTCCTCAAGGAGCTCTCCCCGCTGCCCGAGAGCTACCTCAGCAACAAGCGCAACGTCCTCAACGTGTGAGTGCGTCCCGGGTCC